TTTGCCTATCCATCTTGCCCCAGGAGGTGGGGCATTTCGCAAATTTTACAACAATAATTTCCAAATCCCCCACTAAACCCCGAGGTGGGGAGGGTGGGGGTTGACATTGACTGGAGCATAATAGTATATTGTTTGGTTTTTACTGTAGTTTCTAGTTTATCCATTTTATCAACAAGTGGATCGGCACAGTTTACCAAGACTCTAGCCGACCCTGGGTTGGCACGGGGTGAGCCTTATCTGGTTACAATGTTTTGGTGAACTCTGAACAATAGTGCCACGTTTTTTAAACTTTAAACTTTTCACCTTTTGGACCACCTCGCCCCTCGCATACTATCCATAAGTGATCATGTCACAAACTTCGACATGATGGCATGACGCCACCGATATTGTTTAACCTTATGGCAAAAACAAAATAACAGTGCGCATTTTCATTAGTTGACAAACGTACAACTGAAGGCACGCCTTTTCGAAAAAGTTCCCGCTATGCAGATACAATACCCGGTACGTTCTTAGTACCGGTCGGTTACAGTACTAATTTACATGGCTAATGCTTCTCACGAGTGGGGCAAGAATACGTTTGTTTGCTCTTTGATATATACACCGTAGGGGTTTGAAATCGTGATAAATATTCGACTGTAAATAAAAAACAGAACAACTTAGGCAGCTTGGGGTCGAAACATTAATAGTCGTGGTTTATAACACGAAAAATACGCTCTACTTTCTGTTCGCCATGCGTCTTCAGGAAGGTTCACACATGCATGCCGACCATATTTTTCATTACCGTCTGGATAAAAGCTCACCAAATTTCATTTGTATGGTCTCTTATCAAACAAGTGAAGTATTATCATTATAGTAAATTACCCTTTGGGCGAACGCACTGACTTACCTCCGACAATGAAATGCGATTTTCTGCCCCAAAATTCTGGGCAATTTCGACACACAACGTGGACATCGCCATGTCAATGCGTCTTGTAATCGAAGCCTCGCTCTCGTAAGTGACGTCATGTTTGCTTTTCCTGTATAATTTGCATAACGTGATCTCACTTCACCTTGCTCTTTATCCGCCTCCTGCTGTGCGCAAAATAGTTTACAGGATGTCTAAGTTGATTTTGATTATTGATTATCGAAAATTCCGAAAAAATGATTTCACATGATTCTAAATTATTTTGCCCGAACAGGGCCTGAGTAATATTAGGAAAGTCGTATTATTCGATATATTTTGTTTGTAGCATTCGGCGTACGAAGTACTAGTATGTGCCGTCTACCGGGGCCGTCTACCAAATACAATTACGGTATTCTCAAGAAATCTGGGTTAGAAATTGTTAACAAACAGCCGAACATCGCTGAGCATTTATGTAGAGTTGGTTGTGATCGACTCGGATTTTTCAGCAGCCTGGGGCGCGAACAAGTTCATCGAATCGCCCGCGAAACTGGCGACTCTTGAATGCGACCTACTTGATTAATCAAACTTTGATAAGAAGCAAGTCGGGGATTTGTTTGATGAATACCCGCTCCTCAAGCTGTCCTATATCTGTCTTTCTAAATGTGTACATGCTGTATAATATTTCATAGCATCCGTTGGTTGCTACTGCGCCCAAACCTAGAGGTAAACAGGACAGATTTACCTACATGGAACGGCATGTTTCAAAGTGGGATTCGGAACAGCGTTGCATGTTGGGATTTTAGATATCTAGATAAAAAAAATAAGTCCGCCAGGTCCTCGCGAATCCTACTCATAAATGCAAATACCAAAAATTTATTCGTTTCGCAATAAATTGTAATGCCAGGCAATATAAGGCTATTTAATATAAGGACTTTAAAAAGTTTTCGAGAAAATGGTTAATGTATTTTCATGGATAGTGTCCATTTTGTCAGTATTATTATAACGGTGTTATGGCAGACATATTATGTCATGATATCCCAAATTGTAGTCTGGTGACATAGGCTGAACAAATCATATACTGTGAATGATGGTTTATTTATTTATTGGGTTTCAAAAAGTGTCCAAAAATGAAATGCTTTTTGTTCTATAGAATTGATCTAAAAAAATAGCGATTTTGGAATATTTTGACAAGTTTCTCACCATGAAATAGCTTTCCTTTTGCGTTTTGCAATGAATAATAGCTCCGTGTTTTACATAATTAACTAATTAACATTGTCATGCGACCAAATATGGTATATTTAGCATACATAAATAAACCTCAAGCGGTTTACATTTGTGCCTTGTTTTCAGATTTACGATTTGTTTGCTATCATGATGATGTTACCGAAGACAATTTTGAGATGTCGCGACACTTTGAGGTTTTTCCATATGATAAATGTATTACAAATCAGCACAAATTTGCACGGATGTGTGCATGGATGTTTGGCTCACTTCGTGCCTGGATTTATTTTATGCCCTTGTTCATCGAACAACGTCACCGAAACAAAAAGATATTATCAATATTTGAGTTCAATGCCTGTGGACGATTGTAATGATCTCACAACTTCGAAAATCAATTTAAAATTGGCGCAGACAGTACAGGCCACTAAGAACAATGGCCCTTCACATGGATTTTCACTTTGACCAGAACTGTTGGTGTCTCTGATTCAACTTTGTTGCTTCACCCATAGACCCTAGAGAAGATATTGTTTATCGTTCACTGTGCTTGAGATTACGATATCTGTAACTTTAGTTGGTCTGACAGTTATTGCGCCCTCACCGATATATTTCAACCATTCAGGTTGAGATAATGGTCGTCCTTGCGGCAGACTTGCGTAGAGTTTCTTGTTTATTTTCTTTCTTTTTTTGTGTTTTTCAATAAAAAAAATATTGAGGGAGTGTATAAATGTTGATAACCGAGTCACCACTAAATATAATATACGAAAAATAAACTGACTAAAATTTGGGCGGGAACAATTGTGACCAAACTTGGACAAGAAAAATCATTGATCATCGTAAAACATAACTATTATACACTGTAGTAATATTCCATAAAGATGCAATATTGCGGGGAATAGAGTACGTATTTTCGGGCGTGTTCGATGACAGAACAATGGTCAAATTGTGAATACAAAAACGCGGTATGGTTTATTGCTTAACCAACTGACATAGTAAGAGCTTACACATGAAAAAGGAGCCTTGAATCTCTTAAAATAGCACTTTATAAAGGTGCTTTGCGAATGTGATAGGGAACATGTAGAAAAAGAGATACAATAACGAGTTAGACGCTCATTAGCAGAAATTACAAGATTCTCAATGGTCAAGAGTTACCCAGAAGAATCCTTCATACGAATAGATAAACGAATTAAATACTATCATAGCGGAATGACATGCAAATGAGAATAATAGTTGTAATTAATAATAATATAAAAGGAATCTAAATATACATTATGAATCTCCGACAAATATGAACCATAACAAGTAATGTGCAATACTGTTTTGTTTGATACTGTATAATGATGGATGTATTGGACTATAATTTATCATAACTAGAAAACGCTTCTCTTGTAGCATAGTTTTGGCAAGTACAATAGCAATCTCTGCGCATGCGTATTAGTGGATTTCAGTTGTTTGTGCAACTAATACTTCTATGTGTCATGCATACCAGCATGATTAGTTTATGATAAATCATACTAGTCCATATTGAGTATCGATGGAGTATAGCAAAAATATATGTTTTGTTCATATTGCATCTTTTATGCTACGTATAATGTATTAATCTGAATAACATGAATTATATTTTTACAAAAGTTCCAAACAGCACAGCAATATATCTAAACACAATGTTACTCACCCGGGTAAAAGTACCTGTACATTTTTGCTGCAAACATTTATACTTCATAATGAAAACAACATATCGGATTACTCCACTATAGATCGTTGAGATCATATTACTAACATATGATTCTCATTAGCAGCAGTAAATAAATGTCTTCATTTCTATGTCCAACAAATGTTTTATTTCAGCCAAATATCAAACCCGTGTCTTAAAAATGAACTCGGTTGACATTTTACAGTGATTGCCAGTTTGAAGATAATCAGTTAAAAACAATTTTGAGTTATTGTAACGACTAGAAGAAGACAATTTTAAGATCGGAAAAAACACAAGCAATAGTTTACGCCGGGGACGATAACATCAAAAACAACAACAACGACGACGACATACATTTCTCCTCAAATACTTTTAGCGTTATTTTAATTACATCACATGGCACGTATAAATTGAATAAAACACAACTACAAGAATTTAATCGAATACGAATGCTGTTGTCGCCACCAAACGGCAATGATGGCAAATACTTTCGTTTTACTTAAGGTAGCGCTACGAAGCGTGGACGTTGTAGCCCCCCCCCCTTTCAGACAAACTGTGGATATTTGACACTCCTTTCCAGACAGTAAGCATAAATGGTACCAAGGGAAAAGTAGGTGGACTCCCAGAGATGGACTTTGACGATCGAAATGAAGTTACAGAAAGAAAAAATCAGCTTCATTCTCCTGATTGTTGGATCACTCAAGCTCTAGATAGTCTTTGGAAAATATGGACTCATTTTTAGACAGAAATAATGAAAAAGGATACCCCTTTTCAGACAGACAGGGTAAAATAACATACCCCTTTTCAGACAGAAATGGTGAATTTGGGACCCTTTTGGCGGCACATATACATATAGCACTTCAATGTGACCCCCCCCCCCAGGGGGGTTTAAAGCACGTGGGGAAATTCGTTTCCGCGAGCGGCTTGTTACGCTGACACTCTATAGAGTACTGAGAGTCTCGAGCCAAAGGAATACACATAAGTTTCTTATTACCAAATGCTTCAGCTTTGTTTTCAGGGGTGGGTGATACCAAGATGGGAAATGGATGCACATATGGGGTTAATTCCTTGAATTGCAATATAGAGGGTTCAGGCTGAAATACAATATATAGTGTTTTCATGTTTCGTCTGATATTTCTGTGGTATTCTGCTGCTGTAAGTAATGCACGATTTGTTCCGAAATTCAGTATATTGTGTGTATTCCAGGGTTATTCGTTTTTTGC